CAATCACCGATCATCGACATAGATCCGCAAAAGATTAAAGTAGAATCACTATTAATAGATATGAACAATAAATTGGAGTTCATACTCAATCTCGAAAAAAAAATTAATGAACTTATGGAGACTTTTATTCTGAACAGTACCAAAAAATACTGGAATTCAAAGACTGCGAAAAATAAAATAAAAGCATTAGAACAAAAGAACGTATACTTTGAGAAATGCAACGCTTCATTAAGGGAAAGAGTTGTTAGCCTGGAGAAGAAGGAAAAAGAAAAAAATATTGAAATTGCGTGCCTAACGAAGACTAAAGAAAATGAAAATAAGAGATAATCAAAGACGTTGCTATAAAGTTTAGTTTGAACCCAGAAGATATACAAAGTGTTGAAAAAATGAGCTCACCAACCACAACAAAGACGAGGGACGACAAAGCCAAGTTATAGTGAAGCTGCGGTCAAAGCAAGCTCGAGATCAATTAATGCAAAAAAGTACAACTAACAAATGGCGATATATATGGCAACGACAAACATGCTAATACTATTCTGGGAAACCAGGAATCAATTAAAGTAAATATATAATTTTATATGGACCTAGAACTAATATATTAGTCAAGGCGAGAAGGAAAAATTATTCGCATAAGAACAGAAACTTACATTAAAATTTTACGTGAAAAACATAATAGTGAATCAGATAAGTTGTTACTTAGAGCAATGTAACAAAATATCAGATGCGCAGCACGGGCTCCGTCGCGGGCGGAGCACGAACACTGCGACAACAATTTCAATGGTAAGTAGTTTGTTGCTGCTCTTTTTTATTGATTATAAGAAGGCATTCGACACCACGGAACACGAGGTACTACTGCGTGCGATGGATGAATGTGGTATCAGAGGTCCCATCAAGCGATGGTTTAAATGCTATTTGCGAAATAGATCCTTGTGTACACGGATAGATGGAGTCACAGGAGATGAGGTAACTGTGAGTCTTGGAGTGCCGACCGGATCGGTGTTCGGGCCGGTGAGGTACATTATGCATGTTATTAGTGTCATTAATGTGATAAAATATTGTAAGACGGTTGGTTATGTATGCAGACGACAAGTGCCTAATATACTCAACCAATAACATGAGTGATGCACAAAAGTACATACAGGAGGACTTCGAAAGTATAATTAAATGGGTTTATAATAATGGTATAATTATAAACTTATCTAAAACAAAGGCTGCGTACATAAGTTCACCCCACAGTAACGTCGTTAAGTAGAGTAAATTAAACATAAATATAAATTGGTCATACATACGAATGTCTACACCACAATAAAGCTGGCTGCCAGTGCACAAACATAGATGTAGTAGATAAATACCGATACTTAGGCCTGACAGTAGATAGTAATCTACACTGGAAACCGCACGTTAATGGTGTATGTAATAAATTGCAATCAATCCTGGGTAGAATTTTTCACCTAAGTAATTTCACGAATGTCTTGTATGTACTGTATCATGCACTGGCTAACTCGGCAATCAATTATGGATTGAGCAGTTATGGGATAACATTCAAAACACAGTTAAATCGTATACAACATTTAGAGATTAGACGACTTAAGTATTTAGTAAGTAAAAAAGTATAATTACAGTATAAACCAAATTATGAGAAATTGCTTAATATATGATAAATATCATCAGTGCATGAAAAAGTAGAATACCTCATTGCTTTAGAATAACATAAAATAAATAAATATAAACAACTTATAACGCATAAATATCGTACCAGTACCAGGCAAGTTGAAACGGGTAAATATGTTATACCACACACAAGAAACTATTATGATAAGAGAACTAGGCAATATTTATCTCCGCTATATTTAATAGAATAAAGAGAATCCCAAGAAAAACAAGATTTTATAAGAGATATGTCCCAAGTAAATATCGTACCAGTACCAGGCAAGTTGAAACGGGTAAATATGTTATACCACACATAAGAAACTATTATGATAAGAGAACTAGGCAATATTTAACTCCGCTATATTTAATAGAATAGATTTTATAAGAGATATGTCCCAAGAAAAACGAAAGCACTGTAACATTAAAGAAAATACTGAAAGATACATTCCTAAAAAAAGTGTAATGTGCTACCTACAACAAGTATTAATTAAAGAAAGAAATATTTATTGTAATATAATATTTCTAAGATAAGTATGTGAGTAACATAAAATATATATAAATGTAAAAGAAAAGAGCGCCAACAAACTGTTGCACAATTTTGTGATGATTATCATTACTGTAAATGCGTGTTTTTAAATGAACAAAGGTAAAAATAGTTGTCAGTTGTTATAATTAAACTTTTTTTTTTTATAGGATAGGGTGACAAGCGAGCACACAGTCCACCTGATGGTAAGTGGATGCTGAATCGAAATGCAGATGCGTTGTCACCCGTGAGGACTAAGATGGAATGCCACGTTTCCAGTAAAAAGGGTCTCCAGTTCTCTACACTCACTATACGAAACATAGCAGTATTACGCTGCTATTTTACGCTACTATAAAATTTTTACTATAAAATGAAAATCAATCCCATTGATTTTTTTTCATATATATATTTGACAACACATTACAAATTGACAAAAGAGCTAACAGTTTAGGTTACAGCAAATGGCTACTGGAATTACTTAATACGTGAACTGTGTCAAACGAAAGAGGTAGTTTTATTCCGTGATCATAATTACCTTATACAGGATATTTTTCAAAGAGAAGCCAAATTTTAATATATAAATAATGATATACCATTCTTGAAGTTTTTGAAAATACTATTAAATAAGGCTATATCTGCTATATGAAACTATCCCAAATTAAATGTGATCTATGGGCAACAATGTTTTTGCCTATAGATCGATCCTTACGAATGTGTGTGTGCGCAGTAAAATAGTTAAAATAATGCATTACCACGTATTTTGAATTTCAACGTTAAAAAGGACTGAATGCTAGAGATTTCATTAGTTAATTTTTTTCACCATTAATCTTCATAATTTATTTTTACTTCTTTGCAAACTTGGCCTTTAAAAATAACCCTTTATATTAGTGTTAAGGTAGAATAAGAGTAGTAGCCCAATTAAAGACCTAGACAGATTAAAACACCTCCTTTTTAACAACATTACAGATATAGAAAACATAATAGAAAATGCCCAATAAGAGAAGACAATAACTGTGAAAAATAAATTCACCGTAGATTGTCTCACAGAGGACACATGTGCCATAGTTACGAAGCTTGACGAGCGAGTTGGCTACCACAGCTGTTTTTATTTTTGGTCGATATAAGGAAGACGCTGGGGGCCATTTTCCGTTGCCTCTTATGACACCCACAGGATGATATGGGGTAGTGAATATTCTTACACCGTCATTACACTGTAAAAACAGTTTTTTTTTTTTTACAATTAAAGTTTCGTATTTCGAGAGCAATCCCCTAACATCGAAGTTTGTATGGTTGTTTGTTTGTAGTGTTAGGACAATGTATGTGTATCACTGACCGGTATGTAGCGCGAACGTGAGGAAGTTGATGGGTGCGTGTGTGGGCGGGGAGCGCGGGGCGGGCGGATAGCGAGCGCAGTGCGCGGGCGACGAGTAGTGCGCGCGCGCGCCCGCACCCACAGCGCACACCCACCGCACCCCGCTACACTCACCCACCACCTGTCAACAGACAAACCATCATTAGAGTGTCTCCTGTTTGAGATGGTACCCAAGGGATTTTTCAAATTTTAAATTAATGTATGTAAACTCTTTATACATTCAAAAATCTTTTTACGTTATTAAATAAATTTTAACTTTATGTTTAAGTAAATAGGCTAACCCCTAAAGAATAGTCCTATTTAAGTAAGAAACAGTAAATCCACTTCTAAGGGGTGACCAAAGCGTATAGGACTTGTTATATAACTGTTTAGAAAACATCATTGTTCAGCTTGTAACAATATACCTTAGTCATTCTTTTTAATCCTTGGAATTTAATTTTTTATTATGGTTAATGTACTACATAATATTTTTAAAAAAGATATAAAATATTCTCGTGCTATTTATGCTTGATGATGATATGATAAGGATATAGAACGACGAGGGAATGCTTAAAAAAGAGTAAATGGGGCCCTGCACTCTATTGTGAAGAGTCAAAATGTGTCAAAAAAGGCACGTATGGCAATTCACAATGCTGTGTTGGTCCCTACTTTAACGTATGGTAGTGAAAGTTGGGTGTGGCAGAAGAAGCACGAGAGTAGAATAAACGCAGTAGAAATGCGGTCGCTAAGGAGTACGTCAGGGCTGAATCTGAATGACAGGGTTCGAAATTGTGTGATAAGAGAAGAGTGTGGTTTGCAAGATGATGTTGTGAGCAGGATTATGAAAGGAATGCTTTGGTGGTTTGGTCATGTGGAAAGAATTAATGAGGAAAGAGTGATAAAGAAAATTTATGTTGCAGAAGTGATTGGCAGAGTAGGAAAGGGACGTCCTAGGCGAAAATTTATCGACCAAATTGGCGATTTATTGAAAACGGCCCAAATTAGGAGTACCCTTAACCGACGACCATGTATGCGTAAGGTATATGGATGTGAAGGAGGCGAGAGAGGCGTGTCAGGATCGTGCCAAAGAGAAATCTGTAGTCTCTGCCCACCCCTCTGGGTGACAGGCGTGAGTGTTTATGTTTATGTTATGTTATTTATGCTTGGCCTGCAGATATAAAACTAATCTTTGCCCAAATTTTACAGTTTTCGAAGTAATTTCAGTCCTTCGTAGGTGTTTTTTAGGATGCATCTAAAATTTATGTCAGTGTTGCCACGATTATTTAATGTGCTAATTGAGTTATAACGGAACGCAAAACCGTATAATTGACATTGTGTTATCTTATCTGTCAAATCACGAACATATATTTAGTATGAATAACGCATTATCTTTGGGCCTAGTGATGTAAATGTGTGTTCCCCAGGGCTCAGCCCTAAGACCATTTTTAATCCTACAATATATAAATGCTATATTTTTTATTGTACACGATTGCTGTTATTTAAAGTTAATTTTTTTATGTTAATGAGCCAAAATGATTCTTGGTTGTCTCTGATTGTAGTAACCTCTGTGGGTGCGACTGGGTCACTGTGAACGTTGCGCGGCTGTGCGACAGCGAGTGTAGCACGCGTCAGGTTTTGCAGCACGTACTGCGGGCACGGGTCCCGCGCCACCACCACCAGCCAGCGCCCGTCCGTCTGCTGCTGGGTCACTACCACTGGCACCTGCGCACCCCCCAACACTCCTTTAACATTAAGTCCAGCTACTATTAAAGTATTTATTGTAAGCTTTTGTGTTATAACGTTACAAAATAAAATTTATCAACCGACTTCAAAAATGAGGGATTACTCAATTCGACTGTATATTTTTTATGGTGTTACTTCAGAACTTTTTTCTTGGTGAACCGATTACGATGATACATTTTTTATTTAAAAGCTGGTACTTCTCGTGGGATCCCATATAATGTAAGCTAAGACAATATAAAAAAATATATGTAAATTAATAAAATTTTCATAAAATAAAAAATAATGAACAGAGGGTGTGAGGCAGAGAAGTTTCTAGAAAGTCGTTAGAAAACGTATAAATATCGGGCCGTTTTGCTGGGAATTCATTCGACATTCGGGCCTTACCAGAAAAAGGTAGCATAAATTACAAAAGGGAACTCTGCTCTGCCTGCCCCCAGCTGCCTCCCTGACGAAGCTGAAGAAAACAAGTGTTTTTTGTTCGTCCTAAAAACCCTAGGAAGTCTATCCACAACAACGACAATAGCGCATCATTATCGTACTTTGATATCTTGTTGTTCTAGTTTTTATGTTCTAAACTGTTGATATGTTTTATGGACAGATAAGTAGCAAGTGTTGTACTATTTTGAAATCTTAATTACATGGACCATTTCTAATACAACTTGCCTATTGCCTAAAAAATTACTGTACTAGCAGTACAGTAATTTTTTTTAAAGACAAGGCGCCAGCGTTATGTGTTCAACGTTTTTAACCATGATTTAATTAAACTTTTTTGTGCTAAACTTATAATATTAATTATTGGGTTTGTGACTGTAACCAATAGCATAGTTATTTAGGATTACATTTAAAAAATATACTGAAAAAATTAGAAATTTGTGATCACACTACATTAATATGTGATCAATATATAATGATGATGATAAATCTATTTGTCAATTCTAGTAGGTCGTATTCTTATCATAATCTGATATTTGGTAAATTAACACTGAAGATTACATTATTATATATGTTATATATAAAATATATTTATTATATATAAAAACATTTTAAGTAATTCAGATAGTTGTTTGTTTAAATATCAACGTAGTTATCCCTCAACAGCTCAATTACCTAGCTGCACATGAATATAGTAGAAATGAGTATTGGACTCTACATACCTTAAACTAAATTGCTTATATCTAAAAATTCCTAGCAGTCCCTAATACGCTAACCCTACCATATAAAAATATATACATAAAAGAGATAAATACAGGATGTCCGCATCATGAGACCTAAGATAAAAGACTGACAGAGACAGGATGTCGGCGTTAGGTGATGGGGTTCTCTCACCGCCAGTCAAGCAGACTCAAAAACCTGATTATGGATTCTGACGGCTAAAGGTGTTTTGGCCGTAGAAAGAGAGAAGTCTTACCAGGAGTCTCAGCGGCAGTAATGAAGACGTCGTCCAACATTGAAACAGTATTTTATGGAGAAATCATTTCAATTTATACAATTGTATTGAGGTGAATATTTTATCATTACAGTCATTTATATACATCATTTCTAAGATTATTTAGGAAAATTATTGGTATACGTGATTTCAAGCAACGTGGTCACAGTGTTGCTGCATTGCAATGTTTAGAGCTGAACAGGATTAAAGTTTATTATTGTAGGGAAATATGGATATGTTAAAAAGGGTTTTTGGCCTGCATTATTCCTTAAATCTGTTTCCACACATGAAACAAAATAGGTTGTTTGTATTTGTATGTAATATGGTACATAAGACAAAGTGATGGGATTTTTAAGCTATTGCATAGCTTCTATCGCGGGCCTTGAGCGTGGGGACCGAATCCAGAAATTTATTCCGCCGTAACGAAAAAACCTCACGCTCCCCACTCCGACGGGCACGGAGGTGTGGCTTGAAGGCCGTGCATCGTCTAACGTCGTTTCAGTTCGGCAGACTTCGGCACTCGGCAGACTTCGGCACGGTGTTTGTGTGCGTGCGAATAGACGTATGCGTGTACACTAGCTGCTAACTCAATGATAAAAATTCCTGAATAACCTACATGTATTGTAAGATATTAAAAATATTTTAAAAAATATTAACTTTTCATTTATTCAATAATTATTTATGTAATCTAAGTATCCTGTTTACTCCAAAGAATACAGTTTTAATTTTTTTATTGGATAGATTGGCAAACGAGCACACAGTCCACCTGATGGTAAGTGGTTGCTGTGGCCCATAGACATCTACATCTATCCTCGATTACAAATCAAAATGCAGATGCGTTGTCACCCGTGAGGACTAAGATGGAATGCCTCATTTCCAGTAAAAAGGGTCTTCAGTTCTCTACACTCACCATACGAAACACAGCAGCATTAAGACACTATTTCACACTGGTATTCTGTGAGAGCGTGTTCCTTCCTCGGTCGAGCCTGCCCATTAGTGCTACAACTATACTACTAATATAACTGCAGCATGGATCTACCATGTATAAACTATATACACTTAACTACTCAAAATAGTCTCATATTTTGCTTGTAAGTGGACGAGACATTGTTATAATTAAAAAGTTTAATTAGTTCTACATAATGTCAAACATTAAACGTGAACTAATTTCTTTAAAAAATGTACAAGTTATATATAAATATATATCAATTGGATTTAGCCAGCGAGAAAATGAAATCATGTCGTGTTTACGACATCTAGCGTATTTTTAGCATACCACCTTGAAAGTTAATCAATGTTTGTTCGATAAAATCATTTTACGTATAAAATGCAGTAGATGGCAATATAACAAATTATTATTTTACTTGTGTACTCCAAAGAATACAGTTTTAATTTATTACACTTAAATTCTCAAAATACTCCTATATTATGCTTGTAAGCGGACAAGACTCCAGAAAAGACAAAGAAGACCAAACATTGTTATACTTAATAGGTATAATTAGTTCTACACAATGTCCAACACTAAATTTGAACTAATTTCTTTAAAAAATGTACAGTACCTACCTAATATCTAAGCATCTAAGTAATATTTTATGTTACATTACTTTTTATACACAAAAACAGTTCAAACTTAAAAAACTATCATAAAACTAATAAAATTATATTTATGTAAACTAAGTATCCATAAAATCTCATAATATAAGAAGTGACGTATAAGTCTATATCAATAGGATATAAATGCCTATATCCATAAATGTGTATTATGCCATCCTTAAAATCCGATAACATAACAAGTTACATACAAGTATATATCAATAGGTTTTTGCCTGCGAGAAAATGAAATCGTGTCGTGTTTGCGCCATCTAGCGTATTTTGTGCGTACCACCTTGAAAGTTAATCAATGTTTGTTCGATAAAATCGTTTTACGTATAAAATGCAGTAGATGGCGCTATAACAAATTATTATTATACTTGTTTACTCCAAAGAATACAGTTTTAATTTATTACACTTAACTTCTCAAAATATTACCATATTATGCTTGTAAGCGGACCAGACTTTGTTGTACTTAATAAGTTTAAGTAGTTCTACATAATGTCAAACATTAAACTTGAACTAATTTCTTTAAAAAATGTACAAAAAGTTATATATAATCTATACTCAGTCCTCTCTTGAAGATCTATCTAAAGCAGTTGACACTATGAACGCTGATTTGACTTGTATTTCGAATTGGAGTAAATGTTATGGTTTAACGATTAATCCTAAGAAAACTCAGGTCATTGTCATCGGTAGTGCTAGATTAATTGGTAAAATTGACTGGTCTTCCCTACCCCCTATTATACTAGACTGCACTCTATCATCATATCACATACAGTAACAAGGTTAAAAACCTGGAGTTGTATCTTGACTCCTGTATATCCTGGACCTCACAGGTTAATGAGGTCAGTAGAAAAATGTTTGCTGCGTTAAGCTCTTTACGTAGATTACGTAATTTCCTTCCCACAGCAACTAAAGTTACGCTCGCCCAGTCTCTTCTTCTGCCTATCCTTGACTATGCTGATATTTTCTATCTTGACATTACCGAGGAGCAGCTTAATAAGCTTGAGCGCATTCAAAATGTATGCATCAGATTTATATTTGAGCTTCGCAAATATGATCATATCTCCGAATTTCGCAAACAGCTCAAATGGCTCCCGATCCGCCTTCGCAGGAATACTCACATTCTCTCCGCGTTGTATAGTGTGCTGTTTAATCCTTCTACTCCTCTTTATTTAAAAAACCGTTTCCAATATCTTTCTCTTACCCATAATCGGTTCCTTCGATCCTCCATCAATCTTTCTTTCTCTACACCTTTGCACTCTTCTTCCTTTTTCAAGAAATCCTTCACCGTAACCGCTGTGCGATTGTGGAACTCCTTACCTCTCCATATTCGTCGTGCTAAATCTCTACATTCTTTCAAAATTCTTGTTAAATCGTATTATTTAGAACGCTATTAGATAAATTACTTTACCTTTCTCTTACTCTTTTCATTTAATCTATTATATGATATTTTATATATAACTTTCACACTTTTATATGTATGTATTGTTGTATTTTTTTTATTATTTTGTATGCCCCCCTCTATTTGTAACTTTTGTTTGCATCATTACTCTACGCAAAGGTTGTCTGGAAGAAATCACTTTCAGTGATAAGACCGCCTATTGTACATACTTTAATTAGTTGTAACTATATTGATGTTTCTGTATTGTGGTGTACAAAAAAGGATAAATAAATAAATAAATAAATTATATATCAATTGAATTTAGCCACCAAAAGAATGAAATCATGTCGTGTTTACGCCATCTAGCGTATTTTTTGCATACCACCTTGAAAGTTAATCAATGTTTGTTCGATAAAATCATTTTACGTATAAAATGCAGTAGATGGCGATATAATGAATTATTATTTTACTGTTTACTCCAAAGAATACAGTTTTCATTTATTACACTTAACTTCTCAAAATAGTCTTATATTATGCTTGTAATCGGACGAGACATTGTTATACTTAATAGGTTTAATTAGTTCTACACAAGGTCAAACACTAAACTTGAATTAATTTCTTTAAAAATTGTACAGTATCTACCTAATATCTACGCATCTATATAATATCCACGCTCAAAAAGTGTAACTTGATTTAATATCAAAGACTTAACTGCATAAATAAAATAATAAGTTGATAAAAATGCTATGCAATAGCTTTACCGCGGCAGTCAGCGAGTGCCACACGTATTTTTTTTCTGTCAATGAATCTGCCTACCAAGAAGACGACCAAAATACATAAGAATGTAAGTACTAAAGTACCACCTTGATATTCACTTGTGTCGTTAAATCGACCCACAGTTGTGTTTCAGAGTAAAAAGTGTATAAAAAACTTTTTGTGGTCCATTCTGTTTGTTGCTTGTTATTTCTACGCTGGTGACGTGTAGGCACCCACAATCAAGCGAATGTTGTGAAACAGGTGCATGTACTCTTCACTGGTCTGCCAGCCTGTAGCCACTTATCATAAGCAAAATTATTTTAAAACAGGCTGTGCGTACTCACAGATGTCCCGTGCGCGTCGAGCAGCGCGAGTGCACGGCGCGCGGGGGGCGCAGCGAGGCGCACGGGGACGTGCGCGCCGCCTCGCGCCAGAGACACGCACACATACGCTCGCGCAGGCCCTCCGCCCCGCCACCGTCCCCACGCACTCATCTGGCACAGCGGCACGCCCACCTCACTGCACACGCGCAACAATACGGTTAGCACGCCACGAACCAAACACAGTAAATCCATTCAATGAAACATAATATTTTAATCTAAAGCTGAAGGTAGCCGGACTAACTATGACATCGAGATGTCAACACATTATCCTCCCTAGTGACCATGGACGCTGTAAATCACCCGAAACGTCGAGAATTAAAAACTTAAAATTAATCGCGATGGAATCCGTAATATTCCTTTCGTTTAATTTATAGTATTCGCATTAGTAAAAAAATTATTACAACAAATCCAAATCAATAAGACAGATTTCTTATTCACTTCTACTAAACATAATAAACTAGCGAACGATTGCGACGTATGTTTTATCTTTGTTAAAGAATTATATCATTGTAATGCAAATACCCAATAAACCAGGAATCTTAATATGTTACAATATAATTACGTACGTAGAAATTTGAGATTGCGCTTGTGTGACGCCCTTTAGCTTAACACAGCAAAACTACGTTAAAATTAATATTAAAGCTAATATTGCAACCAAAATGGATGAAGTTCGATATTTTGTGAAAAACAACGAAAAATCTCCTTTAATGAAACTATCTGTAAGTTTGGAAGAGGCTCTTTTAGCCTCACCAATGCCCTGCAACACAGGGCATGTCTGTAGCCAAACCACAAACGGAAACGAATCATGGAGATAAAAAGTTCGCTAGGCCTTATAAGCTTATTGGGGTAGCAAGGAAGAGGTGCCGAAGACTAATATCAGCTGAGATAGGAGCCGAAGGCTCTCTCTCTTTCTGCCAGAAGCCCTGGGACGAACTTCCTCTGCCCAAACTTCATCGGTTTCGAAGACGACAAAACGCAGTCGGTCTGATGAGGAGTCCCCCAAAAACCAGCCAAGGAAATCTGTGAAACTAGCAACGGGGGAGAAGAAGCTCAGCTTCAGTGCCGTAGCTGGCTCCACGCGTATAGGAATTCGCAAGTCGAATCCCATGAGCGTGGAGCAGATGCGACAGGTCCACCGGGTACCAACAGGTGCTATCGCTAAGACGTCCTGTGGGGCGCAGCCGGGAATGGGACCCAAAATTTTCGGGTTTCACTCACAAACCAGGTTGGTTTCTGGCAACAAGCCTGAATAAGGCAAGCCAAGACTGGATTGTGGGTGAAGTCGGAAAACTTAAATCCTGGACGGCGGCAGAGCTCTCGATAACACAAGAGGGCTATCTGCTTAAGCCTCAGCTGGGCATCACCTATTAGCCCCGCAGCGAGAGCGCTGACTCACCAGAGTAGGCGGCAATACTGTTGATGGCACAAAATGAGGGACTCCATACCGACCTCTGGAAAATCCTCCACCGTAGGGAGGAGGAGAATGGGTTCATAATTTTAATATTTTAATTAAGCCTGTCACCCAGAGGGGTAGGCAGAGACTACAGACTTCCATTTGGCACGATCCTGACACACCTCTCTTGCCTCCTTCACATCCATACACCTACGCATACATGCTCGTCGGTTAAGGGTACTCCTAATTTGGCCCGTTTTCAATAAATCCGACTCTGCCATTCACTTCTGCACCATAAATTTTCTTTGTCACTCTTTCCTCATTCATTCTTTCCACATGAGCAAACCACCGAAGCATTCCTTTCTTAATCCTGGTCACAACATCATCTTGCAAACCACACTCTTCTCTTATTACACAATTTCTTACCCTGTCATTCAGATTCAGCCCTAACATACTCCTTAACGACCGCATTTCTACTGCGTTTATTCTACTCTCGTGCTTCTTCTGCCACACCCAACTTTCACTACCATAAGTTAAAGTAGGGACCAACACAGCATTGTGAATTGCCATACGTGCCTTTTTCGACACATTTTGACTCTTCACAATAGAGTGCAAGGCCCCATTTACTCTATTTCCCGCATTCACTCGTCGTTCTATATCCTTATCATATCTCCCATCCCTGCTTAATACGCAGCCCAAATATACAAACTCATCTACTTGCTCGATCAACTCTCCTTCTATTCTTATTTCACAAATCGTTTTACTTTCTTCTCTTTCAAAAACCATAACCTTCGTCTTACTTGCGTTCACTTTCATACCCCTTTCTTTTAATGACCCGTTCATTAATGTAACCATCATTTGCAACTCGGCCGCCGACGACGCAAGAATAACTTGATCATCGGCATACAAAAGGCATTTGGCAGTTAACTCACCCATTCTTAATCCGCATTCTTCAACTTTCAAATTTTGCAAACAACTATCCATAAATAGGTTGAACAGCCACGGGGAAGCCACACAGCCCTGTCTGACACCTTTATGGATGTCAAACCAGTCCGAGTAGACCCCGTTGATCCTAACACAAGCACTAGAGTCCCTATAAAGAGACTCCAATGCCTGTATCAAGCCAGCGCTCAACCCAAATGAGTTCAGTGTTTGCCATAGCAAATCCCTATCCACTCTGTCATAGGCCTTTTCCAAGTCCATGAACGCACAAAAAACCTTTTGGTTTTTGGCCAGAAACTTCTCCGCGATCATGCGCATGGAAAAGACTTGATCTGTACATCCCATTCCCTTTTCTAAATCCCGATTGCACATCCCAAATTTTCCATCAGTTTCTTTCATGACCCTTTCAATCAGTACCTTAGCATACAGTTTTCCCACAATGCTAAGAAGGCTGATGCCACGGTAGTTGTTACAGTCCTGCTGCGACCCTCTTCCCTTTATATACTGGGACTATCACGGCTTTGCACCAGTCTACCGGTACCCGCTTCAGTTCCCAGCATAAATTAAACAAGGTGTGCAGCAGGCCTGCCACCACTTCCTCTCCAGCCCTTAGCATTTCGAGTGAAACTCTATCATATCCGGCAGCCTTACCTGCTTTCATGCTTTTCATTGCTTTCATTATTTCATCTATAATTATCTCGCTACCTCTTTCCTCTTCTTTCGGTGTTTCTACTTCACTTAGTACACACGTTGTATCCTCACTCATAAACACGCTTTCTAAATATTCCTTCCATCTCTTTAAACTCAAAACTTCATCTTTCAGAATATAGCCATTCTCGTCTCTTATAGCATTCATCATAGGCTGTTTTGAATTTCCCCTGGCAGTTCTTACAAGTTTCCAGAACATTTTAATATTTGCCTGTAAGTTATCCGATATTCTTCTATCATTCTTATCCGTTCTTTCTTGCTTTTTTCTTTCAACTACTTCTTTTACTCTCTTATTAAGATGTCTAAAGACTGCCTTTTTTCTTTCAATATCACCATTCGTACCACTAGAATTAGCAGCCTTTGTTGCTAGTAAATCTAGCCATGCTCTCTTCTTTGCTTCAACTTCTAACGTATTATTTTTCCTTTCATTCTTTCTCTTACTAACACCACATACTTCGGTAGCTGCATCCACTAAACCTTTCTTTACATTTTGCCATACATTCTCCAAGTCTAACTCCTTCATACATAATTCATCCAAACCACTTATATTTTCTTTCAGTCTACATTTGAACTTGTTTTTATCACTTTCATCTTGTAACCTTTCTGTTCTAATACGCTGTAACGCAGTGGTAGACACAGACGATCGATGGCGCCAACGCCTGAATAGACCATTAATTCGGCATAAAACTAAATAATGATCCGTTCCTACGTTAGAACCCCGGTAAACTCTCGTATATACCACTGCGCCCCTCAATCTTTCATCCACAATTATGAAATCTATCATGCTTCTATCGTCACCTCTTTCCCAAGTATACATGTGAATCCTCTTGTGGCGAAAGCAAGTGTTCGTCACAAAAAGATTCTTTTCTATACATACGGTGAGGAGACTTTCACCATTCTCATTTATACTTTCATCACCAAACGTTCCCAATATCCTTTCATAACCAAGCCTCCTGACCCCAACCCTTCCATTAAAATCTCCTAGCATAATAATATTTTCATTTCCCTTACACTTCATTAACACCATCCTTACCATTTCCTTCCTTATCATTTCATTTTAGAATCAATATATAACCATATTAAAACATTTAGTGTAGCACAAATTATAGATTTTTCTACATTATTGTAAGATAATATTTATCATCATATAGACTTTGAAAATATTCACAGTATGCCTGAATATACTGTACATTATTATCTAGGCTTATCAAAGGCAAAATACCAATAAATTCTGTCTGAAGTTCCCAAAATGTCAAGTAAACATAGTGGATGTTTTGCACTTGCTGTATATTTGATGAAATTAAGAACAGGAGATAGTGATGAATGCATATAGGCATTATTGCAAGTGCCAAGAAACAAAATAAAGCGGCTCATGAATATGGCCCGCGAAATATTAAATCAGGATGTTGTTCCTATGAATTTTATCCATCGTTACCACTCTCTGTGCTAAATTCCATTCAGTAATTATGATATTATATTAGATACAAATAATTTCTTAGCTTTCCTAGATGGTTTTGTTATCCAAAATCATAACAACATCATAGGTCACACTGTGTATAGAAAAAAGACCCATACAAACTGATATTTAAGCGGCGAATCTCACCATCATCCTTCACAGTTAGTTACCGTGAGCAAATCTTTGTTACAGAGAGCATATGGGATCTGTGAGAGCAAGCACCTGGTCGCGGAGCTTCAGTACGTCAAGCAGGTTCTGCACAAAATCAAGCTTCGGGTCCCACGTATACGTCACAGTGACCGAGTGAAGCCGACCGCAGTTGAGCGTGTGCCTGCTGTACTACCGTATGTCAAGGGTGTCACCCCAACCAGATAGACATACATCAGATTTGATAGACCACAAATCCTCGCGAAAGAACCTTAATTCCAACCAAGGATGATATGTGAGGCTATTAAAATTAAAAAAAACATCCTAATTTCAATAGAGAAGGCGGTTGAGTACTACCACCTGCTTAGGAAACTATAATTAATAAAATTAAAACTAAACCCAAGCATACCACTGCAAGACTTAAAGATAGAGTAAGTTCAATCTGCGTAGATTGGACTATAAAAATAATAATAATAAAAAAGCTGAAGAT